CCTTGGGAATCTCACTTCTGTCCAATTTGATTCTCCCCATGCTGCACCCCACCCCCTAGCCAAAGAGTCGGGCAAAGGGGAACTTGCATCAGCCTTGCCAATACACTTTCAGGGAGAGAAGAGACAGACCAGTTTCCCACTGGTTCTGGAGAACAGGTTCCCATATGCTCTCTAACATGGTGTTCAGAAAAATATGGTGCATCCTCCTCCCAGCTCTGATTCCAGGAATGGCCACAAGGGATGTTTTATCCATATGTTTCTCATTCAAATGTAACTCACTAAAACATTGCAAAGATGAGTATGCGTGCTGTATTATTTATTAATTTTGTTTTCACTCCAGAAGCAGTAAATTATATTTTCCTGAGAGCAGACGATCTCAACCCTCAAAATATTTATACCTAAGCCAAGCACATAATCTTCCCACTGATGTGCCATGTTTAAGTCATGTGGAAATACATATCTAGGCTCTGGTAGGATGCCTAGATATGTATTTCTCTTATGTAATTCTCTTCTTTGTCATATAAAGGCATATCTAAGGGTTATGGTGAGATTTTACAATTTGGAGGGTGCAAGGGACTTTGTTTCTATAATATACCATATAGAATATAAAATACTATGATATGCTCTTTGTTACTGAAACGTACTGGGGAAGCTGGAGCAGATAGAACATGTCAAAGTTGAGAAACACTTTAAGTTTACTTTCATCAAATTGAAATCTGTAAAACACTGATAGAAGAGAAAAGCTTTACCTAAATCATCCTGCAGATGTCTTAAATATGTTTGACATTGATGGGCTTGTTTTCTGCTGCTTATTTTTGCTGTTCAATCCACGTGCTTTATAAAGTATAATTTATTAACTCAAAAGTTTCTATTATTATTATTTACTGCACAATTTACATGTCATCCTATTTCTTATGCCTTCACCATTTTAAGTATACAATCAGATTGAACCTTTAGGCTCTACAAGAATAGAAATTCTAAAAGGGAACTCCCAGGAAAGTCAAAGGAAAAGAACAAGTGTTTTAGTGCCTATGGCAAATATCCGTGCACAGTCAACCATTCCTTGGTATGGACAAAATGCTCTGTCTTTGCAAAACTCCAAAGTCTTTGAGTTTTTCAAGAATTTCTCTGACTCTCTATTAGCTACTCAGTGCAGGTACTGTTATCTGATGCTAGAGATAAACGCAGTTCAGAGGGGGAAAAATACTAAAATTGGCCAGCTAGTCAATGACAGAGAGGGAGAGAATGGAGAATGTATTCAGCCTATAAATATGAATTATGGACATTTATGGAGATAATATGGACATTTGTGAAGAAGAGTATAGTTGGGGTCAGAGGACAAGATGAGGAAGCTCCATCACTGACATCAGATTCTACAGCTGTCAAACCTTTGCTATCTTTCATCTTGCTTCCACTGCTATAAAATTTGTGAAAAATGGAGTTCCTAAGGCAGGATAAGGCTCAAGTGGCGCATGCTTTGTATGGGTGAGGTCCTGGCTTTAGTCTCTGGCAATACAACATTGCAATAGCAACAAAATGGAGTTCCCCTAAAAGAGAGGAAGGTTAAGCTTGAGACAAATAAGATCAAAGGTCTAAGGCTAGGACAACAAGCACAGACTCCAAAGATTCCGGATATAAAAGCAAATTTTCCCAGCTTTACACACCCTCTCTTGGGGCTGGTAGCCCCTGAATTAGCTCTGCTGTGCTTACTACGCTATAGGAATCCAGGAAGGAGCAGAAAATGCTGTGTGGGTGCAGTGAGCGGAGTACTACATTTTCTCCATCAGAGATGGTCACATTCTAATCTCTAGAACTTGTAACTCTGTCATCTCCTGCAATTTTGTGGGTGTAATTAAGTTGAAAATCTTAAAAGGGGAATGGTCTTGGGCGATCCGGGTGGATTCAAAGCAATAACAAGGAACTTTATCACTAAACGAAGGAGGCAGGAGGACCAGAGAAAGAGTTGAAGGTGTACTGCTGCTGACTTTGCAGATGAAGGAAAGGAGCAGGTGACATTCAGAAGCTTAAAAAGAGAAAAAAGTGTGCTATGTATTAGTGCCTCTAGATTGAACACAGTCTGGCTTGCACCTTGATTTTATCCCCATGAGAAATTATACTGAGAACTATAAGAAAATAAATTATTGCTGCTATACATCACTAAGTGAGTGGTGATATTAATAGCAGCTATAGGAAACCAGTATGGTGAGAGCTATATGCTAGGTGGTCAAGCTGTGTTTTAGATACATTCATGAGCTAAACGCATCTAAAATGGGCACTCTGGAGAGCTTAGAGCAACTGTAGGTGGGTCTGTTCCCATGAGAAATTTGAAGAAGACTGGGGGCTCTTCATAAACCAGGTTCCTCTCCACATTATTGATCTATTGCTGATTGTTATTCATTACTGCAAAAGAATTCACCTCTGAAACAAAGCAACTTTAATATTGATTCATTATTACATATTTAATATCAAATTTTCTCTGGGTCAGGACTATACACACACCTTAGCCAAATCATGTGTTTCAGAATCTCTCACAAGGCACTAAGAAGGGAGGGGAGGGGAGGGGAGATGAGAGGAGGGGAGGGGAGAGGGGGGGAGGGGAGGGGAGGGGAGAGAAGAGGAGAGGAGGGGAGGGGAGAGGAGGGGAGGGGAGGGGGGAGGGGAAAGGAGGGGAAGGGAGAGGAGGGGAGGGGAGGGGAGAAGAGGGGAGGAAAGGGGAGGGGAGGGGAGGGGAGGGGAGGGGAGGGGAGGGGAGGGGAGAGGAGGGAAGGGGAGAGGGGGGGAGGGGAGGGGAGGGGAGAGGAGAGGAGAGGAGGGGAGGGGATAGGAGAGTAGGGGAGGGGAGAGGAGGGGAGGGGAGGGGGGAGGGGGAGGGGAGGGGAGAGGGGGGAGGGGAGAGGGGGGAGGGGAGGGGAGGAGAGAGGAGAGGAGGGGAGGGGAGAGGAGAGGAGGGGAGGGGAGAGGAGAGTAGGGGAGGGGAGAGGAGGGGAGGGGAGGGGAGAGGGGGGAGGGGAGGGGAGGAGAGAGGAGAGGAGGGGAGGGGAGGAGAGGGGAGAGGGGGGGAGGGGAGGGGAGGGGAGGGGAGGGGAGGGGAGAGGGGGGAGGGGAGGGGAGGAGAGATGAGAGGAGGGGAGGGGAGGGGAGAGGTGGGGAGGGGAGGGGAGGGGAGAGGAGGGGAGAGGAGGGGAGAGGGGGGAGGGGAGGGGAGGGGAGAGGAGGGAAGGGGAGGGGAGGGGAGAGGAGGGGAAGGGAGGGGAGGGGAGGGGAGGGGAGAGGAGAGGACAGGAGAGGAGAGGAGAGGAGAGGAGAGGAGGGGAGAGGAGAGGAGGGGGGAGGGGAGGGGAGGAGAGAGGAGTGGAGGGGAGGGGAGGGGAGAGGAGGGGAGGGGAGGGGAGGGGAGAGGGGGGAGGGGAGGGGAGGGGAGAGGGGGGAGGGGAGGGGAGGAGAGAGGAGAGGAGGGGAGGGGAGGAGAGAGGAGGGGAGGGGAGAGGAGGGGAGGGGAGGGAGGGGAGGGAAGGGGAAAGGAGGGGAGGGGAGGGGAGGGGAGGAGGGGAAAGGAGGGGAGGGGAGGGGAGAGGAGGGGAGGGGAGGGGAGGGGACGGAGGGGAGGGGAGGGGAGGGGGGAGGGGGAGGGAGGGAGAGGGGGGAGGGGAGAGGGGGGAGGGGAGAGGGGGAGGGGAGGGGAGGAGAGAGGAGAGGAGGGGAGGGGAGAGGAGAGTAGGGGAGGGGAGGAGGGGAGAGGGAGGGGGAGGGGAGAGGGGGGAGGGGAGGGGAGGGGGGTGAGGGGGTGGGGAGGAGGAGGGGAGGGGAGGGGGAGGGGAGGGGAGGGAGGGAGGGAGGGGGGGAGGTGAGGGGGAGGTGGGAGGGGAGAGGAGGGGAGGGGGAGGAGGTGGGGTGGGGAGGGGGAGGGGGAGGGGAGGGGGGAGGGGGAGGAGGGGTGTGGTGGGTGGGGAGGGGTGGGGAGGGTGTAGGGGAGGGGTGGGGAGGGGTGGGTGGGGGGGTGGGGTGGGGTGGGGAGGGGAGGGGAGGGGAGGGGTGGGGAGGGGGGGGAGGGGAGGGGAGGGTGAGGGGAGGGGAGGGGAGGGGTGAGGGGTGGGAGGGGAGGGGAGTGGAGGGGAGGGAGGGGAGGGAGAGGGGAGGAGGGAGAGGAGGGAGAGGAGAGGGAGGAGTGGAGAGGGAGGAGGGAGGGAGGGGGAGGGGAGGAGAGGGGAGGGGGAGGGGAGGGGTGGGAGGGTGAGGGA